AGACATTTTTCTAGTGTTTATACAAATAACAATAATATTAGTATATAACATCTTTTCTAACCACCTTATATTTTAGTTGTATTTGCAATTAAGATCTGCTTATTGAATCAATTTGATGGTTAATGCCCATCAATAGACATAATGCTACCAAGACATGGACTTGTTCTATAGCCTGGCTACAGACTATTATAGGCATATTCTGAGCATTTTTGATTTGCATAAACTTGGTCTTCTCCAAATTTATATGTAAGCCAATCTTATTGGCCTTATCATCTAAACTGGTGGGCATTTCCTGTGTCTCACCAAGCAATGCAAAGTCATCCACAAAATCTAAATCTGTTAGACAGGCTGTTGCCCATGGGATACCAAAGTTAGCGTTATCCAAGTTAGAACAATTAATCAGTGGAACAACTTGCCTCCAGAAGTTGTGAAAGCTCTAACACTGGAAGTTTTTAGAAGAAATTGGACAATCATTTATCTATCTATCTATCTATCTATCTATCTATCTATCTATCTATCTATCTATCTATCTATCTATCTATCTATCTATCTATCTATCTATCTATCTATCTATCTATCTATCTATCTATCTATCTATCTATCTATCTATCTATCTATCTATCTTCACAATTGTATCCACTGCAATTAATGACTTGTAGCATACAAATGGGTAGTAGATTACATATTTATTTTATCAGCCAAGAGAAAACATGCAAAAAACCAGTTTTTTTCTACCTGGTTTTTTTTTTTTTTTGCCAAGGAAAGTCATAAATATTGAGCCGATTCCATATGGGAAGGGAAGCTCACTGATCACTCCTCAGTTCTGATTGGGGTTTTATGAAATTCTCACTTTGGGCTCAAGAGAAGAATAAATTAACTTAAACATTTCTTTCATAGTGTATACATGTTGCCTTTTCTCAGATTGTTTATATATGCCAGACAAGCCATCTGGGTTTAATAAGCAGTTATCCTCACTAATAAATGCTGCTGTTTGCTTCTGAGACCAGAGATAAAGAGTTTGTTTATTTATTTATAATTTATTTATTTTATTTATTTATAATTTAATTTATACCCCGCCCTTCTCCTCATGGGACTCAGGGCGGCTAACAGCCTCATAAAAACTACAATACAAATACAATAATTAAAAGCCGAATTAAAAAGAAATATTTAAACAGGCCGATCAATTAAAATTATCCTTAAAAATCCCCTGAAACTTTAAAATCATTAACAATTATCCCTATTTA